TATTGGGTGCATTCTGCATGACTTCAGATGATCAAGAGAATTAAAATAAATGACCAACTGGTCTCTCCTCTTTGTGATTGACTTAATCCTTTCTTGCATACTGTGATTTTAAACTTATCTGTAGAGAAACAAAGGGTAAAAACATTCATGAATTCTAGAATACTGACTAAACAAGTTGAAACGTACATTACCCCTGACAAGTTTCTAAAAACATCTTTTTTGAGGAAAAAGTAATTTATTATGACACTTCACTGAGCTAATCTCATTATCATTCTGACTGCTCTCATGTTCATAGACTTTGGAGAAAAATGTCTCCAGTTCCCTGTACTTAAAATTTAAAAGGATATTTATTCCAGCTAAAATAATTATGCAATCTGTGGACATGTTCATTCACATCTGATACCAATGACTAAGTACATCTTTCTATTAAAGGGAATCTAGCGATTGCAATGCTAATGGTTTGATCCATACAGGAGGTGGTCATGGAACCGCAATATTATGAAAATATCTTTTAAACAGTTTAGCAGCACTCCTTGTGATTTTAAGCTTTTAGTTTTCAGCGTCACAATGAACTAAATTAGCACAAGACACAAAAACAAAAATATTTCTTTATTTGTGTCATTTGAGCTTAAGGCTCATTAACAGATATTATTACTAATTCCCAATTCTTTTTTGTTATGTTTGTGGAAAATTGATGGATTAGTTTTGTCACCATGCAGCAGCTGGAATAAATATGGACTGATGGATGAAGGACAGATTTCATGCATGTGTAAGAATATGAGCTGAAAATGTGGAACCAGATGAAACTGGTAAATTAATAACACAGTGGTAACCTAGTGACTGAACTGTTCCTCCAAGGAAGAGTGATTGTGCAAGAATACTAAAACTAATGTAGAATCAACTGTGACATGTGAAACCGTACGGGTTTCAAGAAGTCAGATTCGATTTTGTTGCTCATCAATCCTCGCCTGACCTGTATTTGCTATTTTCCTCATCACTGCAGTTCTGTCCTGTTTGTCAGGTCTGTGCTTTGTGTTTTAAGATCTGAACCCAGAATGTAGTGATTTTTCTCAGAGTTGTACTTTGAATGAAGAACAAGATCCTTATTTTGGTCTGCATTTTTGATCAAGGGCTTAAAAAACTGTAAAGAAGCTCCTTGTTGTATAAACTGGGTACTGTAATTCCACATGGTCTCAATAGTATTACATTAATATTCACTTCCTCCACCATCAACACAGAATGGCAGCAATATGTACCATCTACAAGATGTAGTCCAGCAACTTACCAAGACTCCTTAGACAACACCTTAAACATCCTTGATCTCTGCTACCTACAACTATAAGGGCACCAGATAAATGACTGCAAGTTCCCTTCCAATCCCCCAACACTATCCTGACTTAGAAAGACATCATAATTTCTTCCTGTTGTTGAGTCAAAATCTTGGACCTCCCTAACACAACACAATGTACATAATTACATTGCAAGGACTGCAGTGGCTCAAGAATGCAGTTCATCACCACCTCCTCAAAGGCAATTAGGAATGGACAGTAAATGCTGGCCTACTGGCGACACCAACATTTCATGGACGAGTGAGAAAACCATGCATTTTCTGAAGAGTCAACTGACTAACATGCTAGTGAGATGAGGCCACTTGTAACTCCAGCTGACTTGAGTACATGCAAATGAACAAAAATGGTGAATTTCAATTTATTTTGTAATGCTCTTTGTGACGCAGAAAGTAACAAAGCACACCACACATTCTGTTGGCATATTTAATTTGTCTAACGCTAAAGTAATAAGAGAATCCTAAATCCATCCTCCTGTCTGACTTCATTCCCAAATCCCTCAGACTATCTGTTACCCTGTGCCATTTATTCTTTGGCCTATTTGAAGAATTAAGTCTTAAGAATTCTGAATCTGACTTCTCAATGTTATTTTACAGCATAGATCAAAAATCCATTTCAGCCCAAATAGTTGAAAATCTTGAAATGTGACAGCAAGTTTGTGCTGCATGTCTACACTGTCTGAAGAACAGTTTACACTTAGGATCCTGAAACGAAGTTATATCAGACTTGAAATGTTAACTTTGTTTCTCCCTACAGATGCTGCCAGATCTTCTGACCTTTTCCCACACTTTTTTTTTTACAATTTCAGCATCCGCAGTACTTTGCTTCTGTTTTTGCGTAAATTGCTTTCCTTGATTTGCCAATATGCAACAGGAGGGCCAGATGCAAAAATAAAGTCTAAAACCTCAATACTGATATCAGAGCCTTAAAACAAATCACTGTCAGCAAAATAATTTCGAAAGTATACTTTTGTAAACCCCCTCAGGATTTACCTTTTAGAGCTGAATTTTAGATTAGAAAGGGGAAATGGATGTGGGGGTAACACTGTATTTCGTTCTCAGAAGAGAGAATAATTCTCATGGGCTTGTCTGTTTGCCAAAACGCCCATAGATTGGAGTAGTTGATAAGTAAACTTCAAGTATAGCAGTACTGTGAGTGATGTCTAACATATGCAAATCGGTTACAATGTCACCCAGTGTCATGCACAAGGCCATTTATCATGCTTCAATGTAAGTTTTGTCAAATATCAATTGGGGAAATATGCTTTGGAAAAACTTGTAAACTTGTATGTGTATAGCTAGTTTATTTCAAAAATTAAGCAGAACCTGGCCATTCAGCCTTTGAGCCTGCTCTGCCCTATGTTCTAGAACTGTCCACAATACGTGAGGTACATCTTCACCAAGATCCTATATGTCTTGTGATAAATGAAAACCTACATACAATTTGTCTTCCTGATTGCTTGCTCTCTGGAGAGAATAGAGATATTTGTTAATGATGTTAGAAAAATATGCACTAACCCACATTAGACTCAATGTTGATTCTGATTCACTCTCCACCGATACAGTCAGACTCGATGAGTTTCTCCAATACTTTCTGTTCTACCTCCTCAGAAGCCAAGATGTTTTTCCTTGGGTGGGGTAGTCCGATACTAGAGGGCATAGCTTTAAGGTGGGAGGAGAAAGATTTAAAAAGAGGCTTGAGGGGCACCTTTTTCACGCAGAGGGTGGTGTGTGTATGGAACAAGCTGCCAGAGGAAGTGGTGGAGGCTGGTACAATTACAACATTTAAAAGGCATCTGGGTGCATATATGAGTAGGAAGGGTTTAGACGGAGATATGAGCCAAATGCTAGCAAATGGGATGAGATCAGTTTTGGATATCTGGGTGGCACAGATGAGTTGGACCGAAGGGTCTGTTTCTGCGCTTATAACTCTGACCGTTGAGCCATGAAGTATTCATAAAGTGACTTTTCTTTTTTTCCCCGCATGTTAATTAACTTCCATTATGATAAAGTCAGATGAAGTGAGGTTGAAAGAAATAAACTTTTTAATATGGTTACCTATTATGTATTTATCCAACAATGTCCAGCCAGGTTCTAAATGGGTATCATTTGCCAACAAATAATCACTGTGTTTTGTTTCTAGAGAAAATAAATCTTGAAAATGATGCTGTTTCCAGGAAAAGAAAACTTGCAACATTAACCTGTTCCTGTCTATTCGTTAATTACTAAATAGATAGCAACTTAAGAGCAGAAGTTGGCTGTTTGGGCCTTGACAGTTCCACCTTTTGATCAAAATGTGGCTGATCTTGTTGTGATCTCAAGTTCCCTTTCCTGTCTGCCTCTCAAACTATGATTCCCCTTTCTAGCAAAAGTCTAATGTTTCCATCAATAAAGTAAATGATTTGGCCTGGACTGCTTTCTGGGAAAGAGAAATTTACAGGCTGAGCTGAAAGAAAGAGATGAAGTGGATAGCTATCTTGAAAGAGGAAATCTTTTATTCCTAAAATGTGTCCCTTAGTTCCAAGTCTTCCCTGCAAGAGGAAATATCCTCCCATTAACTACCCTGTGATGTCCACTTGGGATCTTACTTGTTTCATTAAGATCATTTTGCATTCTTCCAATGGAAAAAGAGACTGCTTGACCTTTCTTTATCCCTTAAGCCCTTCACCTCAGAAATGAGTCAAGTGAACCTTCTCTGAATGGCTTGTAACTCTTATTTGATAAAGGATATGGGGACCAAAACTGAACACTACTGTCGATTTGTGGTTTAACCAGTACCCTGTGTGGCTGCAGTAAAACCTCCTACTCTTCTATTCCATTGCCCTATAACAGACACAAATCTACTGTCTTCCTTATTACCTGCTCTACCTGTGTACTAATCATTTGTGATTCATGTACTAGGACACCCAAATCACAGAGTTCTGTAAGCTTTCTCTATTTAAATAGTATGCTGCTTTTGTGATCTTCCTGCGAAAGTGGACATGTTCACATATTCCAACATCATACTCTGTCTGCCACATTTACCTACTCACTTACCTATCTATATCCATTTGTAAGCTCTTCGTCCTTTCTTGACATGTTGCTCTCCAACCTAAAATAGTATGATTGGAAATGTAACTACCACATAATTATCTCCTTCATCCAAGTCATTGATGTCGATTACATATAGTTAAGGCCCCAGTATTGATCTCTGTGGCACTATGCTATTTACAGTTTGCCAACCTGGAAATAAACCACTCATCCTTACACTCCCTGTTACCTAATTATTTCTATATCCAAGCATGATTTCACTTTCAAAATGCCATGGTGACACTACCTGATCCCATATGATTTTCTAAGTATCCTGTTGTCGTATTGGATGTTAGCAGTTTCCTTATGAGAGACGTTAGGTTAACTTGGATGAAAGTTTGCTTTTCTCGTTCTTTCTCCTCTCTTGAACAAAGTTGTTGCATTTGCTTTTTGCCAATCCACTGAGAGACTTTTAGAATATAAATAAATCCAAGTGTCTGAATTTAAACTTTGCCATTGATAAATGCTAAGTTCATGAACATATTTCGTAGAATGTTGATGTTTATTTGAATCTGAGGACAACAATTTGGACTACAGCTGGAGAGAGATGAAATTTTATGCAGTCTTTATTTTTCCCTCTGCACAGATGATCAGAAGCCAACGAAACCAACCGCCCCAATGGTACCACCTAAAAAACCCAACCTCCCTTTGAAAGGTCATCCTGTTAGAACATCTATGCCTCCTAGACGACCAGAGAAACCCTCAGTGCCACTGCCTTTACCCAAGTAAGATTATTTTTCTGAGACTATGCTTTATTGTCGGTGTTGTGAATATATTTTGGGTTGAAGTAATAAATAATAAAAGTCCATTATTGACGACATTTATTAGTTTTAACATTGAGGAAGATAAATTTATGGTTACACCATCTAAAAACCTAAAATCTTAAAAGGATAAATGTTACATTAAAAGAGCTTATTAGAAAAGCCGATAGGCTTCAAATGTTTTGGTCAACTCATTCCTCCTCTTGTTGGCTAAAGGGGGGTTAGCTAGCTCAGTTGACTGGATGGCTGACTTGTGGTACAGAGTGTCACTAACATCTCCTCTCGCCGGAGGCACAGTGACCTTCAAGTTAAACCACTATCAGTCACCTCTCTCTAATGACAAACTAACCTTATTTTTACCTATTATATGTGGAATGAGTGAATGTGTAAAACAAGGTGCACATAATGGCAGATTGGGATATGAATGAGTTCTTACTGCTGACTGATCAGACAATTGAGTTTGCAATAAATTTGTTCATGTTCCCATTCTTGCTGCTGATTTAGCTGATGAAAGGATGTTTCTTGACTAGCATTAGGGATATTAATAATCTGATTAACCACTCATTGTTATCCTGGGCTTAGATACGAGTTACAGTTGACTAGAGATGTAAATACTGTGCCAGCAAGAGCAGTAGAAAGGTTTGAAATTCTGCCATGAATATCTCTGCTAATTCCCCAAAGTAGGGAATGCTGGATGGAATACTGGCCCTTTGCCTTGATGAGTCCAACTCCTCAATTCTGAAGAAACACCATCCAGCCCAGTTAATCAACGGCCATTACACTTTAGCCATTCATTCGCTTTAGCACCATTCCACAATGGCCAAAGTGTATATCATCCGGAAGTATACTATAGCAACATGTTAAGCTTCCTCCAGCACCTTCCCAACCTGCAACTCCTATCACCCAGAAGGTCAAAGAGAGCAGATGCATAGGAATACCACCAAGGGCAAGTTGCTGTCAAAGTCATGCACGTCCTGATATAGAGCCATACCACTACAGGTAGTTCTGTTATAACGCGTGTTTTATTAAAGTGAATTGGCTGTAACGCAATTGATGAATAGTGGATGCTGTTTGGATAAAGCAAACTCCTGTACAGGTACAGCAATTTTTCTATAGTGATTTCCCTATAATGCGATTTTCTATGGTGATTTTCGAGAGCGTGAGGTCACACAAGAACGCAACTATTGCATTATAGGAGAACTAACTGTATTTGTTTACTGTCACTTGATTAAATTTCTGGAGTTCCCTTAACAGCACTGGGGCTTGATTACCTGGGATAGACTGGGGTTCCTCAAAAAGATAGCTCAACACCATCATCTCAAGGACACTTTGGAATGGGCAAAAAATGCTGGTCTTGCCAGCAATTCTCAGACTCCCATGAAATTATTTTAGAAGACATGCAGTCATGTGTATTATGTTATTCCATGGGAAGGAATAAGTGCTAATTATTTAGCATTCCTAGCCTGCATGTTAGCTCTTCTGCATTTTGGACCACCTTGTGTAAACCAAGTCCTACCATTTACTACATCTACTTAACATTTTCAAGTGACAAGCTAAATCCTTGTTAAAATAATTTATTGACTCTTGCTTCAACTAAGATTTGTAGCAGAGAAACAAAGAAACTGTGGTAAAACTTTAATAAGTTGTTGGTGACACCTGAACTAGAGTACTTTGTCAATCTCTGTACATCAAACTTTAGGAAGGACATCAGAACTTTAGAAAGACTTGGAAGATATTTACAAGAGCCATTATATGGAATAGGAACTTCCATTATATTAAGAGACTAAAGGTGCTGAATTTCTACATTGTCGCAAAGGAGGTTGAGGAGAGAGTGACTCAATTTTGAAGGCTTGTGAAAGAGAACTGGAAAGGAAGTGTTTCCATTGCTTGAAGGACTAATAACTGGAGTATACCAGTTTGAGATTTTTTTCTCATATATGGCAATTTATGATCTGTGGGCGATGGAGGCAGATTCAGTAATAACTTTCAAATGGCATTTGGATATTTACGTCTGTGGAGAAAGGGCAGAAGGGCAGAGGAGTTGGTGCTGACTGAATTCCTCTTACAAAGGACTAGCACAGGCTCAATGAGCCAAAGCACCTTTTTGTGCTGTGACATTCCATGAACTCTTAACCTACTTGCCCTTCAAGGAAAGAACTTTTTTTTCACTTCAGTTTTCGTTTGGAAACTGTTTCAATCTCTGCACAACTCTCATCACACCAGCTAATGAAAGCAAAATAATACTGCCTTTACCCTAACAACCATTAGCTCTGTTTAGTTTGCCTCAAAATAAGTAACTTCTGAGAACCGAAAGAACTACGGATGCTGTAAATCAGGAACAAAAACAGAAGTTGCTGGAACAGAACAGTTCTGAGGAAGGGTCACCGAACCCGTAACGTTAACTCTGACTTTTTTTCTTCACAGATGCTGCCAGACCTGCTGAGCTTTTCAAGTAATTTTGGAGGTCTATCTTTATCCGTGCAATATTTTGTAGCTGATAATATCCAAGTAAATTTGAACCACGTATTGCTGCTTTTGTATCCTCCTCGTAACGGGTCGGTTTAAGACAGAGTCACATAATTGTTAGCTTATATAAAGCAGCCATTTGGCCAATAATGTATAAAGACTCTGAGTCTTATTAGCAACGTTGTACTTTCCCACTGCATTGACCACCAAGATCTGAGGCTTCTGGAAATGGAAGAGTATTGAGGCCTGTGTGGAGCTTACCAGCAGCTGTACAGCTCAGAGGGAACATTGGTTATGACTTACTGCTGTTCTCTGGCCTTTTAATTAATGACTCTTTTCTGTTTGAACAATCTTCAATCATCTGATGCCCTCCTGAATGCCGCAAATCAAACTGCCCTGCTACGCTTCCAAGCAGTATGTTCCAGACCCAAACTACATGCTGTGTGGAAAACAGAAATTGCTGGAGATCTGTTCTGAGGAAGGATCAGTGGATTTAAAACATTAATTCTGCTTTCTCTACACAGATGCTGCTAAAACTACTTCTCTTACAATTTATGTTGTTGTTTCAGATTTCCAGCATCCACTGTTCTTTGTTTTATTATTATATTAATGTTTGGAAAAGTTCTTCTTTCCCTCACATCACACTTGCTTCTTTGGCAAATTACCTTAATCTGTGCCTTCTCGTTCTCAATCATTTAATAGGAGTGATCATGTTCTCCCCATCTACTCTGTCCAGCTCCATGTGATTTTGAAAAGTTCTAACAAATCTCTCAACCTTTCCTTTAAGGAAAACGATCCTAATCTCTTCGATCTATTTTCACAACTGAACTTTCTCATCCCTGGAACCATTCTTGTAAAGCTCTTTTACACTATCCAATGCATTCGCATTCTTCCTGAAGTATGGTGCCCAGAACTGTACCCATTACTCCAGTAGAGATCTTACTAATGTCTTATACAAGTTCAGTACAACCTCCTTAGTCCATACTCTGTGCCCCTCTTAACAAAACCAAAGATACTGAATCCTTTAACTGCTTGCTGTCCCTAACCTGCTTCCATTAATGGTTTACACCTGTGTCCACTGGAGTCTCCCTGTTCCTGCACACGCTTTAGGGTTGTTCATTTTATATTCCCTCACCATGTTCTTTGTACCAAAATGTATCACCTCACACTTCTCCACATTGAACTTCATCTGTTTCCTAACTGTGTCCCCCTTTTGACTTTGTCATTTTTTGAGTTTTACACTGTCCACCTCACAGTTCAGAATGCTCCAAGTTTGTATCATCCTTAGACTTCAAAATTGACCCCTGCACACCAACATCTAGCTTATGAATATATATCAAGAAAAGCAAGTGTTCCAAAACTGATCCCTCAGGAACTCCATGACAAAACTTACTCCAACCTGTAAAATATTTTTGTATCCTATTCCTCGGCCATTTTTTAAAATCCGTATCACTACTGTTCCTTTTATTCCATGAGCTGGCACCATATTGAATGACTCTTGGAAGTGAAAATCCTAATCACGGTTTTGTATAAGTTCAGTGCTAGTTCTATAGGTTTTTAAAAATTCCTGCACATGAAAACATCAAGTACTTTATTTGCATTTTTTAAATGTCTTTGGCAAGATTGTACTGCCACTTTTCATGACTCTATCTGTTCACCAGGTCCTATTTGCCCTAATTAAAGTATTTTGCTATTTTTGTATTTTCTTTCCCTAACCTTGCAACGTTTACTTGTATCCATCCACTGTCTTTCAGAGTACACGTTATTTGTCATGCTTCCCAATGGGAGGCCCTTACAATTTTTCCGTTCTTGAATCCAAACCAGATATGAAATTAATGGTGTTTACAGTTTGACATTAAAATAATCTGTACAAAAATTTAAGAAGAAAATTTCCCTTTAAGGTGTGAGTGTTAGAGCTGTAGCTGACTATTCCACACCCACTCTCTGCTCCAAGCTCGTAAAAATACTGTGTTTGGTAGAGTTATATCAGACTTCACTAAGTGACTAGTCCTAAAATTTTAGGGCGAAGATAATTCTCAAAGGATTTTTATCTGGCAATTTTGTATGTGTCATTGATGAACTGAAATCCATCTTTCACGGCAGTAATCTACGCTAATCTGTGAGGCTTGTTCTTGTAACAGCCAAGCCAAGCAAAATCTATAAATTCATATTATTTTGTAAATCTCCTAAATTGAAATGATTGTTGATAATATCAGTAAATGTATATCCTAGATGATCTCCTTCGCTATGCCATTCTTTAAAATTGCTTCCAATTAACACTTTTAAAATACTATAATTTTGAAAGGAACGTCAACTGTAAGATTACACTTTAATTAGCTTCTTACAGACATGTATAAACAATGGCCAAGAAGAGGCCTTTGAGTCTCTCAATTCTGTTCTGCTATTCAGTAAGATCATGGTTAATCTGTTTGTAACCTTAAATCCACATTTGTCTATTCCCGATAACCTTTCACAATCTTGCTAAAGATTAACACTGAAAAAAAAGTCCTATCAGTCTCAAAACATTAATTGTTTCTCTTTCCACAGATGCTACCAGACCAGCTGAGTTTCTCCAGCACTTTTTAAATATAATTTCCAGCATCCACAATATTTTGTTTTGAGTCTGGGAGTTACCTTCATTATATTCCAATCTAACAGGACCTTCCCCAATTCAAGGGTGTTTCGGGAACTTTTTTTTTTAAAGCTGAACCATATCACTAGCTGTTTCTTTTCACATTTCAGATAAAGTCCATCAGGATTCAAGAACTTGTCAGCTCACAGCTCCAACAGTTTACTCAGTGCCACTTTTCTAATGATTGTAATTTTCCCGAGTTCCTCCTCGCTTCTATTACTTGATTTATAGCTGCTTGTAAGATGTTACTTGTACTCTCTACAGTGAAGACGATTGAAAAGTACCTGTTTATTTAATCTGTCATCTCTTCTGTTATTAATTGTTCAGACTAACTTTCTACAGGTCAAATGCTCACTTTTATAAATATTTTAAAATGTTAGCAAAACTCTTATTTGCTTTATATCTTTGGCTAGCTTTTCTTCTATTCTAATTTTACCCTCCTTATTAATTTTGTGAACATTCTTCATTGTCTTGTATATTCTGTCCATTCTTCTGATCTGTCATTTGTCTTTGCATAATTGTGTTTTTTCTTTAGTTTGTTACCATCCTTAACCCCTTTTCTAGTTAACCACGAGTGATCAATCTACCCTTTGGAAATTTCTTAATCTTTGGAATGCATCTATTCTATGTACTCTGAAATAATCTCTGAAATGTCTGCCACTGCATATTTGTTAACCTATCCTTTAGCCTAATTTGCCAATCCATTTTGGCCACTTATTTATTTATGCTGTAATAATTACCCTTATTTAAGTTTTTAAGAGTCTCAGATTCTTTCTTCTTTCCCTTCTTCCTTGAGTATTTATCAGAAAGTATTCAAACTTTTATATCACATTGAATCTGATTACGATTTACTATTTCAAGGATGGATTATCAAGATAAAACAGCCTGGAATTTCCCAATGCCAGTTACATTCAGCGGAGAGTTTTACTCCAGTGTATTGGTCTGACAGAATATATATTCACATCTGTCAAAAATATTTTGCATCTCTCAATCAAAACAATTTAAATAGTTTTAAAAGTCAAAATTTGAGAATGAATCCATTGATGTACACATCACCATGGTACAATTGGTTAAACACTAAGCTACACAGGTATGGAAAGTTCAAAGCTGGTTGATTTTATTGAATAAAGTTTGGTGACTCCAACTGTTTTGGGCTTAATTTTCTAGTTGCATGACCTCCCTCCCATATACCAGTTGAACAGCTTATTGACACTGACTAAATATATGTGAGTAAAATGATTACTAATCTGAAACTTGCAGAATTGTGAAATTTTCCACTATTCAATCATGAGAAAATGCTGCACCACAATGATTCCATAGTTTTTTTTGTGGGGAAGTACAGTACTGTGACACTTGTTCTCAAGTATTGTTTTATCTCCAGCCTTTCGAATTTGGAAAGATGAATTGTGGTTGATTGAAATATTGTGACTGTCATGTGGATATAATTGGAGAATAAGTTCATCTGCAGTTTTTAAGATTGTACTGCAACAGAAATACAGTGCAATCATGTTTAGCTCCCATTACTGAGCGGCAAATTCTTTTACCCTCCCTCTCCACTTGGCTTGTCGAAGTAGTCATGTTGATTAATAGTTCTTCAATTAATTTCTATATTCCTAAAAAGAGAGACAATTGCAGATTTTCATCCTGCATTCCTTAGAACTAGGGCACAAGAAATCAAAGTTAGAAAGGGAACAATAATTTCCATAGCTTACAAAAAGGCTGCAAATTCTCCTGGACAAATAAGGGTGCAGGTAGGTATTTGACAGATCAATCTGTTTCGCTAAAAAGTGAACCTGCCCTGGAAACATAATTTTGGCAGCCCCCATTTTCAATTAGTTAATCTATGAATGATTTTGGTAATTAGTTTGGCACTTTAGGCAAGTGAACTATGGTGTCATGACATTTGTGAAATCACAATGTAATTAATGATATGACTCTGACATCAGTGAGAGTGAAGACATCAATCCAGAATGAGCACATGAAGAGAGAGCTCTGACACTGGAGTACAGAACTGTATTTGATAACCTACAATGTACATGTGTAAATAAAGGAGCGTTACTGTCAATAAGGTGGTGAAGAGCCTTATGTAGAGACAAAGAGCAGCCTCAGAGACGATCTATGTACAGACGCATGAGCATGGAATTACTATGTGTAAGTTTCAGTATTAGCTTAAAACACAAGATAAGATGTAAACTGGCTGGTCATATTCCCACACTTTTTGGATTGCAATGGAAAAAGCTGGTCTGGCCTCAATGGACCAAATTACCACCACCTGTGTCACTGAAACGACTTGAGTATGAAGACAACGTGACTGTGTCATCAAGCTTCTTCCATAGATGACTATGATCGACTATATGATATGCTCAACTACATGATAAATTGTTTAATAATTTCTACTTTGTTGTTTCAACAGAATAAATGGAGAGGTGCCTTACAATCGACCAAAGTCTGATGTTGATTCAGCTGTGCTTAGACCAAAATCTGAGATCCAGTCGTCAATCATTCGACCAAAATCAGTAGAACTTGAAACTGACAAAGCTCCTGAAATAGGTGAAGAATACAGTCATGTTTAAGATGATCAATTTGATTGAAATCATTTGTTCATTACAGTTAAAGAATTTGGGTTTGCTACTTCTTTTCTTGAAAGATACTTTTCTATGTACTTTTCCATGCATACAAACAGATGAATTGGGAGCGTGTGTAAGCAATTTGGCACATAGAGCCTGCTCATGCTATTCAATAAGATCATGGCTAATCTGATTGTAACCACATCTGCATTCCTACCGACCTTGATGAATGTCACTGTCCTGTTTAATAAAACTCTATCTGCCTGTTCCTGAAAAGATGGTGGAAGCTGAATCCTTGTGTATTTTTTAAAGTTTGGGAGTTTCAAAGACTGACTCATGACTGTCTCAGTGAAAATTTCATCTGGTCTCTGTTTAACTATTGCTACTACTGATTTTTAAATAGTGACCCCTAATTCTAGATTTTCCTTTAAAAGGAAATGTCCTGTCTCCATCTACACTGTCAAGGCCCTCAGGATCATCAATACTTCAATCAAGTCATCCCTTCTAAATTCGAGTGGATTCAAATCTCCCCTGTCCAACTTTTCCTCATATGACAACCCTATTATTCCAAGTGTTAGTTAGTAAACCTTCTGTGACTTGCCTCTAAAATGCATTTACATTCTTCTTTGAATAGGGTGGCCAATATTTTGCACTGTACTCCAGATGAGGTCTCACCAATCCCTTGTGGAACTGAAGCATAACCTCCCTACTTTTGTTATTGTGAACTGAATTACTTATCAAAACATTCTATTAACATTCCTAATTATATGCTTTACCAGCATACTAATCTTCTGTGATTCCTGCACAAAGGACACCCAAATCCATCTGCATCTGAGCTCTGCAATTTCTCACCACCTTAGATACAATACTTATTTATTCTTCTTCCTGCCAAAATGGATAATTTCATGTTTTCCCATAATTTCCTCCATTTACCACATCTTTTCCCTCCTCACTTGACCTGTCAATGTCTTTTCCTACTTACCCTTGTGTCATCGGCATATTTAGCAACCCATACCTTTTGTTCCCTTCATCCAGATCATTTATGTACATTGTAAATACAATACAATATGCTTTTTTTGTCACGTGTACTCTATTGTAGGAGTATAGTGGAAAACTTTTACAATTTCTGCCTTCTTATGGTGACATCTTTGGCACAAGTACCGAGGTACAGTTCTTGGGTACTGCAGAGGAATAGAAATAGTTGTTTAATTAGAGTTGAAAATAAGTTTAAAAATAGGAAAATATTAAAGGGTTAACATTACATGTTCTAAGGTAAGGAATGTCCCCTCACACTGTCCAGGACACACAGCCTGTGTGCTACACTGGGGCTGCTTCCCATGTACTGCCCCAGGGCTCAGTGCTCGTGGTGTTCTGGGGCTCACGGGGTGTGCCTGCAGGCCCCCAAGCACAAGGCCACACTGCCTGTGTTGGGTCCACTGCGGGACTCGGCCTGTGCCCACTCCGCAAATCCACTCTCCAAGGGGGTGGGGAAGAAAGGGAAAGCCACAAGAGGAGAGGGGAAAATGCGGTAAATGGACTGGCGAGCAGAAGGGCTCTGACAGGAATGTCCTTGCTCTGCTGCCATCTTGACCAATAGTAGAGGTCCCCGCACTAATTGCTATGGCACACAACTCATTACATCTTGCCAACCTGCCCAAAGCTCACTTTGTGTTAGTGAGCTTCTATCCATGCTGATCTAACCTGTACACTGGATCTTTTATTTTCTACAGTAGCCTCTGATGTGGCACTTAATCAAATGCCATTTGCAAATCCTAAGTTCAGTACATTTACTGGTTCCCTTTATCCACAGCATGTGTTGCCTCCTCAAAGAACTTTCAACAGATTGGTCAAGCATGATTTTCCCTTTCACAAAACCATGTTAATTTTGCCTGTTTGCCTTGAACTTAACCAAGTGCCCTGCTGTAACCACTTGATTAATAAATTTGACTGTTTTCCCTAAGTCAGATGTTAAACTAACAAGTTTGTAGTTTTCTGCTTTCTGCCTCCATTCTCAATACAGGAGGCACATTTGCTATCATCCAATCTGTCCTGACGCAAGGGAGTTTTGGAAATCAAATCAATGTATCCACTACCTCACCAGCCACTTCTTTAAAGAACTCGTGTTGAAGTCCATCAGGACCAAGGGAACTGCAGGCTGACAACTCCAGCAATTTAGTTTGTACCTCTTGTCTGGAGATTGTGATTATACTGAGTTCCTCAATACTTCAGTTTCTTGATTTATCACTGCCTCTGTGTTGTTACTTGTATCTTCTGAAGACTGAAGCAAAGTACTTGTTCAATTCATCTCTCATCTCCTTGTTTTTCATTATTTTGTTTGTTGTAGCTCATTTATGGCCAGTGTTCCTGCTTAAATACTATTTAAATAGTTTCTCTCATGTTGTTTTGCTAATTTCTGAACTGTTGCCATCCATGTGCTGTCAGTGAAGAAAGGCTTTGTGTATAAATGGGAATTATTTCAAATTTTGGTAATCCATTTTAAACAAACAATACCAACTACAGCTCATAAAGCCTTTTTAAATGTATTCCAAATGGCTGTTTTGTTTGCTTTTGCTCACCAACATAGAGTTTTCTTCTTATACATTTTAAGATGGCAAATTTTCTTTTTATTAGTTGGTCATGTTATACAATACATGCAGTGAGTTCCAACAAATAGCATTGAGATAAATGACAGGAGAATCTGTCTGGGGGCATATAGGCTGGTAGAGATGGATGGAAGGAAGTGCCTATTTTTTTGTTTGAACAGTCTTATGGCATCTTCCACTTTTAAGTGATCCATTCTAGTAGCCAGTGTACAGACAGAGAGGTTTCTATTACCAGCTCTAAGTCATGCAATCACTCAAGATATTGGACAGAAAAAAAGATGGATTGTGGCTCATTTGGGGATGGGAAGAGACCAAATATGCAAAATTCAAAATAATATGTATTAAACAACATATAAACAAAAATCATATGCATAATAAAAAAAGACATCTACTGTACAAAGGAGAAGTTAGATACTCATTGAAAGTGTTTGGCAAATGGATAGAATATTATTTGAGACCCATTCACTTGATCCTGTTGATACATCAAGAACCCTGCCTTCTTTTGAACATATTCTCTTTGCTCATTGAAGTACATTTTATGTCAGTTTTGATCTCCATTTCCTAGGTGTTAGAAGGCTATTACAAAATATTTAATCAACGTTTCACTTCAGAACCTTTCAAATTAACGCAATTGTTGCATACTTTGAGAATTTGCTGCAATTTATATTATCCATTCTAATTAGAAATTGTGATGGTCAGTCATTTGTTTCATTCCTTTTGCAGATCTCATGAGCTTTGACTCTGTAGAACTTTCTGGTGAAAAACTTAGTCATCCTACAGCCAGCAGACCGAGGATGCCAGGGAGGAGGCCACCCAGTGTTTTTGTTGCCAGCCACCCTGTGAGTTTTTTTTTTCTCTTCTTTTGATAAACTTTTGCAAAAGGAAATATTTTCAAATTCTGTTTAATGTAAGTAGAGCCCATAAAACTTCAAAGTAATGAAGTGGGTGAAGATATTTTCTGTGGTGGTACTAAACAATAAAGCTAAGATCCAAATTCACTCCCTTGTCTGTACAAGATTAACTGGAATGGCAATGTGATCACAAAATTGGTCTCGGTGACATTGGGAAAAGAGGAGGTCAAAGTATTGCTTTTGGTTCGTTGAACTGGACAGCATTAAGACCGACTGACGATCAATTGTGATGACTCGGTCATACACGTTATGTACTAATAGTCTACTTTGTGAGCAAATAATGACCATTTGCCAGAAGTAACATGGACCTAAATGTATCTTTGGAACTATGGCAGGTCAAAGATTCAAAAAAACCCAAGGTCAGCACTGGGTGAGAGGTTGTGAAGACCTAACTGGTACTGGTGGTGGTGCTTTTGGGACAAATTATGTTCCAGAAATCACTGTGAGGGTGGGGTTAGAGACAAGCCAGGAAGTAAGTGGTAACTGAGGCCAAATGCCTGTGTGAAAGAAGTTGTGTTGAAAGACAACTTTCCAGAACTGATCTCAAAATCCGGCGAGAAGGTGGTTGATGAGATGGTGTTGAAAAAAGTGACACCCAGTACCAGAGCCTTTTAAAGTAGAGGGAGCATATGGTTGGTAATAAACAGCAGGATGACTGAGAGCGGTTCCAGAGATGAGGATAATTTTCTTTTGGATGCCCGTTCTCAGCTAATCTCAGAGGCTAACTGGAGTCAGGCTTGCAAAATGCATTTAAGATCTAGCAGTGAACTTGTGCATCTCAAAGAGAATATTTTAATGCATCTTTTTCACCACCTTATTCTTTCAGATAGAAATTATAAATTACTTTGTTTAACACTAGAAATTCAACCAAATTCTAAAGGATTGAACCAAAGATCAATCTTTGAAATGGATGCACACATCTCCTTTGCTATTTGTTTTCCAAGATGGTGCATTGCCATATGCATATGTATCATGATGTCCATCTACAGAAAGAAACATCTGTTTTAATGCCAGTATCCCAATCACATTCTTTTAAAAAAAACTATTTGAGGCATAAAAGAATACTGCCTGTGTCACATGGATTAAAAATTCAGCTGGCAAGGGTGTGGGAGTATTGTGGTTGTTATGAGACTTATCATAATACAGAGATACAGGAAAGTAGATTTGACCCTCCCCAAGAAAATATTCTCGTCTGGTTTGGATGGAAGTCCAAATGTTGAGAGATGTGAATATTGCTGCCAATACTTCCTTTCTGGTTTTAATGGAAATGAGAAAGGCAGGCAGCCAGTCTGTTGTCCCCAGCTCCACGGTCCCACAAGTTAGATATTAATCTTAGGTGGCAACTCATCAAATACTTTTTGGAAAATTAAGTGTACTGCATCGGGTGTCACGTTTTATCAAAGCTTTCTGTCTTGCACGGATCAGGACATTTCTCAAGAACATGAAGTCCAGGAAAATACCAACATATTTTATTGCATGGGAAGAGCGTATTGATTGATTGGCAAGCAGACTCTGATAGTGATGTTGCTATGAAGAATGCACACGTTAATGATGATTGGCAGTTAACTGCCAGTCTTTGTTAAATTTTAAACTAGCCAGGTTGATTGTTATTAGTCAATGCATGTCACCATTCTTGGTGAGTTGAAATGGGTGCAGTGTGTGTATGTGTTCTGCAAACAACTGGACCCTGAGTCTTAATGTATGTAGTTTCCAGTACACACTGTGAATCCAACTGAGAAATCCTAAATTGGTTCTCATTGAAAATCTTTACATGTTAAAGAATATCCAGCAAATGGTGCCCATCTAAAGGGATCAAAGACGATGGCTGAAAGTGGGAATAGGATACTAAGCTGGATGATAAGCCATGGTCATATTGAGTGGCGGAGCAAGCTGAAAGGGCCAAATGGCCTACTCAAATTACTGTACGCCATGTTTCTATGTATGTCCAATTGTAAAATTGTATCTAATGTTGGACACTTCCTTTTGCAAGCCAAAGTTGGATGGCTCAGGTCAGTACCTTGGTTGTTGATATGTTGTTTGGCACAATCCAGATGCCTTGGGATGTATGACCTAAATACCAGGCATGACACAGTCACTGAAATTATACCACATTATATTGATCGAGGTCAAATGCCTTTTTGGCTTGACAGCAACATCCTGTTAGTGGTGAACAGCATTCATGTTTTAACTGCATCATAGCAGTGCAAAGCAGCTGGCTTCGCCTTTTGCTCAAGCATTTGAGACACCTTACCCTTTCATGAGGTGCATTGAGCACTTTTCAATATCAAGAGTGACTGTCTTGAGATTTCATGAATTTGCGCAATTTACTGTTGAAGAAAGCCTTAGACTGACTTCATGCAAGAATCTATTCAACTCCAGGTTGTGCCAGTTTCCAATTCACAACACTTTGATCATGCTGAAGTGAGGCAAACTCCCAAGATCAAATGGACATTTGTGCAACATGGGATTGAACTGATGGGTCTGGGTGGGATTCTCTTTGGAGGGTTGGTATGGTTTCAATAGGCCGAATGGCCTGTTTCCACATTCTGGGGATTCTATGGTTCTACATTGCTTCAATAGGAAATTGATGATAAACAGTACCCAACTAAAACAGGCTCGCATTATAAATTACTTAGAAGCAGTTTGGTAAGCAATTAACAATGACCCTAAACACGCTCCTCTCTGATCATGTACTGTCTGAAAAGGAGGAGACTATTCTTGTGCATGGTTTCAATTTTGGTATTCCTTCAATCCACATCAAACAGGAAGAGATGGTTGATCCATTTGAACTTGTCTACTTTCCAGCTATCCCAGCACAGGCCAGTGTCCTGTGAAGGGGAATCCTTGAAGGCACACTCTCTTGATCTGGTGTATGCATATGGCAGGATTCTGAACAAGTCGTCTGATATTTCACATGCAGTATGAATATCTGACATCCTTGCGAGGCCTCAAGGTCAACCTGGCCAAATGTATCATTTAAATCCAACAAAAGTACCAGAACATTGTCGTCCTTACCTGGGTGTGACTATAACCAATAATAATGCATGTTGTTCTCGAAGACAGACACAAATTTTTATCCATTGGACCTGCCACTTAGCATGACCAGATAACATTACTTAACAGTATTTGCTGGACAGCAACTGGTTTCCAGGCAATATATATATGATAGGATCTGTTCTTATGGTTAACTGTGTCCATGAATGTACTGGTTGCCCAAAAGTGATGTCCTTTTGTATCTGACTATGACTAACTCTGCACATCATGAGCTGGCCAAATGATTAGGTGAATTGTTACAACCAGTTTTGAGCAAATTTTGTTTATATGCTGAAGGATTCCTTCACGTTTCAGAAGACCATACAAGGCTTGCATTTTTGTAGTAATGTAGTGCCTGTATGCTCATTTGAAATTGCTAGCCTGTTCATCAATGTAATTCTCAAAAGAAGCCATAAGCATACACTGCAGCACGGTATGACAGAAATCTAAACCCATCACCACTGTGTGAATCAGTATTCACTGAACCTTGGGACTCAGCAACTCAAGAGTTGGGTTTCACTGACATTATGCAAATCCATATAGATGGTGCTTCAATGGGATCCCAGTAGGCCCAGTGCACTGAAATAATTATTGGGTTTTGAGAAATGTGTCCTCAATAGAATGGCTCCTGACCTTGTACGGCTTGCATACTTACAACATATAAATGATACATTTGCTATATGTAAATCTGCAGCTGCAAGGAATAATTTCCTTACTTGTCTGAATAGATTGCATCCTGTGCTCATGAATGGAACGGTCAAATGAGCTCCTTTTCCTCAATGTACTGGTATAGAAATAGGTCAAGGGGTTGTCTACTACTGTCTACAACAAAGATACTTTCACCGGTCAGATTACACTTTGGGATTCCGAGAGCTCCATTTACTGTACAAGAGACATTACTGAGGGCTCCACAAAAAGGCTGGAGTCATTTGTCCATTCTTCAAACTTAAAGATGAAATAGGGCATATCAAAACTATTTTGCTGAATAATGACTACTTGATCAGATCATCACTTACTGTATATTGTGCTAACTCATGAAATGCCCTAGGGCAGTGACTCTTGATCCTCAAAAGTGCCCAGTCCATCTCTGGAAGGGTAAGGTATCTCGAGTGTCGAAGTTGGCCATTTCATGCTCCTATTAGGTAGTAACAACATGCATGGTGTTCTCCACCAACAAGATGCTACAGTCAAGTCAGGAAGAAGTTCTGCCTGTTTCTTAAATGAATAATATAGTGTAATAATTTCAGTACCAGTTCGACACCAGGTATGTATCCCATATCTCCCAAAGACTGGCAGATTGTATCAAACAACATATTCCTCGTACTGTTTACAACAAATAAACCTGACCAACTAGGTTATATTGGAAAACCCACAATATAGTGTCCAACGATAAATGCGATTCCGCAATTGACAACATGTGCTGAGATGCCTTAGTGGGTAACAATTACACTGACATCTAATGTGTCATCAGGCTGTCACTGTGGCACACTTGCGTGTGTGAGAAGCTGCATATATTAATACAAAGCGTCCTGTTTGTAGAAAGAACATATACACGTGTTGTGCTTGTTTCAGCTGAAAAAAGTGACAGCCATTTGCTCGTTCTCCTCCTAGGGCAGTGTTCTGACCAATCAGAGTCACTGTGCGGATTTTAAAATTTAAACAACGCCTGGCAGTTAACCAGCAATTACTATTAATGAGTGAATTCTCCATGGCAATGCCTCAACCAACCAGCACACTCCCCTAACGCAGTCTAAGTGTTGGTTTTCCCCTTGAATTGCTATTCTTGGGAAGTATCCTGATAAATGCAAGATGAAAATTTTGGACAAAATTGTGTCTTTATTCAGAAATATTTATGTTGTGATATTTGTATTCAGCCTCTGCTGGTTCCTCTTTATCCTACCAGTTTCATTCCCATTAAAACTTTTTAAATTCACTGTTATAAAACCATGTTGACTTTGTGCGATCATACTATTGTGACTTTCTAAATAGCTGCGATTCCAGACCCACAGCAGCCTAGTTAATTGTCCCCTGAACTGGCCAGGCAAAATACTTACTTGTGTTGAAGAGGTTTGCCTTTGAGAAACTGGTACTGAGCAATCAGCAAATGCAATAAATACAGATCTTTGTCAGCAGTAAGCATATCTATCTGTGAATTTTCAGAAAAGAATCCATGCCCAAGCCATTATTCTTGCCATATTATCCAGAACAGTGTGTCTTTTTCTTTTTGCTGTGGAGTGTGGGTGATGTTGACAAACCTTATTTATTGTCTATCCCTGGTTCCTGTGACAGCTGAGTATTATACCAGATGCCTTCATGTTCAGTGAAACATTGTACCAGTCAGTCAGAGGGGTAACCTGTTGTCTTACTGGACTGGTGGTCCTTCTCTCCCCTAACACCTATGCATTTACACCTTCAAATATGAATTGCTAGGTATTCCATGTAGACCAAGGATCAAGCTTTAGGGGTTCTTGATCTGTATCACAATATGCTAATTAGTGTATTTGCCCATGAAAGTCATTAAGGAATCCCTGAAGAAACCTCCTTCTGTAATAACTCCAACATTGAAAGAAAAATAGTTGTGAATCATTAGATTGATTCTCCCATAACACCTCACTCTATATGGTAGCATTTTGTTCATGAATAAATGGAAAATAATTTTCTTAAAGAATATTTAGCAAAGATTTTTAATGATTTTCGTGCAGTGTAATAAATCATCACAATTTTGTAAGCTTTATCCAGTTTGAGCATGAAATTCCTCCATATAATTAATAGGAAGACTGAAGCCAATCTCTTTGGTCTTCACCACAAAGTCTGCTCCCTTGCTATTAATTCCATCCCACCCTTCTAATTTTCCTCAACTGAACCAGACGGTTTGTAACATCAGGGTCAATTAGCATTAAATCACTGATCTGTGCCATCATTAATACAGCCTATTTTCATCGCTGTAACATGCAAGATCTCCGCATCACATCATCCTTCTGCCGAAATTCTCATCTATACCTTATCTTTCGATGTGCCTATTCTACCAGATTCCTGGCTGCCACATGTTGTACCATCCACAAACTTGAGGTCAACCAAACATCTGCTGCTGCATCTGAACTGAGTAAATGCTGTCGCCCTATTATCCCTGATCCCACCGACTGATGTCCTGTCTTTAGACAACACCTCAGTTTTAAATTTCTTCTCTTTGCTTTCAGTCTGGCCCTTTCCTATTATCCTGCACAGCAACATCTGAAAAATCTGCTTTCTTCTACTTCTGGCCTCCTGGGTATTCCCGATTCTAATTGTTCATCACTGACACTTGAGCCTTAAACTGCTACGGCCAAAAGCTCTGTAAGTCTCTCCCTATATTGCTATGACATCACTACTTCACTTTTCTCCTTTAAGTTACATCTCAAAAGCTGCCTCTTTCCCTAAGCTTTTAGCTGTCTGCCCTGATATCTCCTTATGTTGTTCAGTGTCATTTTTAAATACTACTACTTGAACCACATTGTGCCTTTCATATAACTAAATGTTCAAATGTAAATGAACTAATTGAGAAACAAAATGCATTGTTAATCCATAGTATAAACTGCAAAAAAACCTGCAATAATCATTTTATATGAGTACTACATGTATTTAATTTGAAGCTTTTTTTTTCATGGCTTTCTCAAGAAATTCTCAAAAAAATAACTAATACTAGTTATTTCTAAGTGGGTCAGCTAATTTTGTGTGGATTAAATCTAAGATTTGCAATCCAGATTGAAATTGTTATTTGAAGATACTGTCAGCTGCCTGAACATACACAGGAACTATTCTCTTTTCATGGAAGGAAGATTTTTTTTTGTAACAAAAACAGAAATTGCTGGTGAAACTCAGCAAGCCTGGCAGCATCTGTGGGAAGAATACAGAGTTAACATTTTGAGTCCAGTGACTGTTCTGATGAGGACTCACTGGACTCAAAATGTTAACTCTGTATTCTTCCCACAGATTCTGTCAGGCTTGCTGAGTTTCACCAGCAATTTCTGTTTCAGATCTGCAGTTCTTTTTGTTTTTGCATTTTTTTGTCGTAGACTGGTAGAGCTGGAAAGGTAAAGTTTGTATTTCATATTTCAATAAAAAGTTGTGTTGCACTGAGAAGCAGTACAGGTTGCAGTATAGTGTACTAGTTGTGTTTAACTTCTGGTTCTCAAACAAATTCCTTAACATTTTAAAGCAAAATATCCCATGTTTTCCAGGGTTTGGGTGAGAGCCATTTAGATAAAATGTCAAAAATGATCAAAGAAGAAGAAGATGAAGAAATTGCCAAACCAAAGCCGTCTGATGTTGCTAAAAAGGTACGGTTTTCTCCAACGAACTTATATCAATTATATGTAATTATTTAAATAGCAATTTCAAGACTTGCAGCACATTTTTAAGGTGACAGGCGAGGGATTTTAAAAAAGACATGAGGGGCAAATTTTTTACACGGAGGGTGGTTCGTATGTGGAATGAGCTTCCTGAGGAAATGGTGGATATGGGTACAATTGCAGCATTTAAAAGAAATTTAGATAAGTGCATGAACAGGAACAGTTGGGAGGGATAGGGGACAGGAGCAGGCTGGTGGGACTAGTTTAGTTTGGGATTATGTTTGGCATGGACTGGTTGGACCAAAGGGTCTGTTTCCGTGCTGTATGACTCATGACTGTCAGTAGTCTGGCTGCTGGTCTTTGTGCTTTAGTTTAGCATTGTTGTTATGCCCACACAAAAAAGCAAATAATAATTTACATTTCTGAAACAACTTGATATTGAAATTAAAACATAGATTTCAAGGAATAAAAGTTTATATGATGTCTCCTGCTCGCACAGTTTCATTGCAAGTCAATGAGCTTTTACAATCTATTGACTTTAAAAGAAAATTAAAAAGATTTACCTGTTCCATTTCTCTCTTCTGTTCGCCTCCAGAGTACTTGAACTATTATATCATCCAAGTTTTGCAAGGGGTATTTTAAATCTGTGGCTTGGTAAATTTCTGGGTTCCGCATTTAAATCCTGCCATGGCAGATGCTGGAAGCTGAATTCAATAAAAAATCTGGAATTAAGAGTCTAATCATGAATCCATTGTCAGTTGTCAGAAAAACCCATCTGGCTCACTAATGTCCTTTAGGAAGGGAAACTGCCATCCTTACCTGGTCTGGCCTACATGTGACTCCATCCTACAGCAATGTAGTTGACTCATAACTGCCCCCGGGCAATTAGGGCTAGGCAATAAATGCTGGCCTGGCCAGCGATGCCCTCATCCTGTGAATGAATAGGGGGGAATAAAAGGCCAAGACCATAGAAAATAGATTATCATTTGCATATCATTTAAGTACTTTGATTCCTCTGTCACCTAATGATTGTAACATTTGAAGGCATACCATTCAGATAGATTTTTTGCCACTAGTGATCCTAACTGGATACTTCCAACTACTGAAATTTGTGGTGGATGTACTGGAAACATTTAGCTTAGTGCTACAGAAATGGTCTTCAAATGTATCATTAAGATTCGTGTTTGTGATTAGTAATCCTTGTGACTGATGGAATTTCAAAAAGTGTTTGGCTATGTTTAAGACACAAGTGATATTATAAATTTATTTTTCATTCCTGTAGCCATCGTTGAAACAACATACTGGAGTAACGAATTTGACTGAGCTAAAAGATATAACTGAAATGGATAATAGGAACAAAACAACTGTAGAAGATCTTAAGGCCCAAATGGCTGACTTAATGACTTTTGTTGAGAGACTAAGGACTCAACACAGGTAACATTGCTTTTATATTTAATAAATGTATTTTTTTAAAAAAAGTATTAACATCGGTAATATTGTTTAATTTAATAAAATTTTATTAATTAATAAATGTATTTTTAAAAATACAGCATTTCTTCACAGTCATTAAATTGCAGAAACTTCTTGCAGGTTACAGATCAACGAATGAAGTGATAACTTCATTTGCTGTATATCTGGCAAAACACAAAAATAACTTCTGCTGGCCGGACAGTCACTATTCCAGGGTTGATGGGAGTTGTGCGCAGGGACCCTGTGGAATCCGCATCATTGCACTCTGAGGGAATGGCCTAGAAAATTGAATTTTCTACTAAATGCTTCCTATATGCCTGGAACCCTTTGAAAGATTCCATAAAAAAGTGAATTATGTAAAATGGTTACTTAGGAAAAGTTAAACTATTAAGTGCATTGCCTAACTCCTGAGTAACTATTAAACTGACCCTTTAACTATCACATACACCCACCACCAACAATCTTCCCCCATCACCACCAAAAAGAGAACTACACATCTCCCAGGGCCAGACCACCCCAGGACCCTGACAGCAACCATTCCTGTCACTTGGCTAACATTTTTTTATAAATAATATAGACTTGATGGGTCAAAAGGCCTCTGTACTACTAGAATACTGCCACTGACCTCTTTTATTCCATGGATTTGAACATGAATGACAAGCATGTTCTGTGGCATTTTATCACAGACCTTTTGGAAATCCATGTGGATCTCACTGATGGCATAGTCTTTATTGACCTTCTTTGTTACCATATCAAAAAAAACTTGAGCCAATGGCTTGAACATGATTTACATTGAGCAACCCATATTAGCTTTCCATAACTAATACATAGCTCAACCAAGTGACTATTAATTTTTGCAAATTCTAATTTCTAAACCAAATGGCTTGTTGTTGCTGGGTTCAACTTTACCACACTTTTCTCCTCTACAGAAAAGTATCATTTGCAATTCTCAGTACTCTGGCACAACTCCCGTACTCAAGAAAGATTGTAAGATTTGTTTCTGTGTTTAAACTCTTACTTTGCTAAATATCTTCAGATTTAACTTCTTCACTCTTGGTGACTTATCACATATAAACACAGCTAACCTTTCTGAGAACTATCAATTTTTAATCCAGTTTCCCAACTAGCTCATATTTTACTATGGCTTGGCAGTGTTTCCTTCTGATACAAAATACTCAATTAGTGCTTCAATTGTACCCTCTCCCTCCCTCCTTTTTGGTGCCAAATCGACGTATGCTTTTACTATTTACAGAATTACAGAATTGTTACAACACAAAATAAAGTCTTTCAGACCATTTTGTCTGTGAATAATATGTTCGTACAGATGGAGGATCGTTTAATTGTCAGGGATCAAAGAGTAGGGAAAATCAGAGTAATTTTGAGTTGTCAGGCTGTAATAGTGGAATGTTACAAGGATTATCACTGTGCTGTTTACATTTTTTTTTTCATTATTAATGGGATGTGGGCATATGTGGCTAACCCAACATTTACAGGTCATACATAATTGCCCTGGAGTAGGTGGTAGTGAGCTGCTGGCTTAGTTCTTTGGGTGCAGGGACACCCACAGTGTGGTCAGGAGGCGAGTTCCAGGGTTTTGAGCTAGTAACAGTGAAGGAACCGGATATGCCCCAAATCAGAACGGGGTATTGCTTGGAGGGGAACTTGTAATGTAAATTAATGACTTGGAGAAAGACAACAAAAGGGATATCTCTATGTTTGCTGACTAATGAAACTAAGTGACAACTTTAGCTATGAAGAGGACACAGACAGCAAAGCAATGAACATTGATTGAGTTAGCAACACACTGATTCATGGAGTATAATGTGGGAAATGTGAGGCTATTCACTTTGCTACTAAGAACAGCCAATTTTTTTAAATGCTTGAAACTTGGAAATTGGGATGTTCGGGGAACTTGGGTGAACCTATACAAAAACTCAAAGTTAGTAGGCAGGTATAACAAGCAAATGAGACAAATGCTTCTTTGGCTTTTATCGAAACGAGATTGGAGTACAAAATTAAAGAAGTTTAGCTGTAATTTTGATTTGTTAAGAGCATTCCTGGAGTAACAAGTACTGTTTTTGTTCTCCATAGTTCAGCAATGATCGACTTGCATTGATGGCAGTGCAGAGAAATTTTACAGGATTGATCAATCTCCTCATGCTAAGAACCAATGTTAAAACGTTGAGCAAACTGGGCTATAAGAATGAGAAATAATCTCCTTTAAACATGCAAGAGAGATTATGAAAGTGCTTAACATGGTGGACATTGAAAGGAGGCTCTCCCCAGGCTGGAGAATCTTGCCACCAATGCACAGCGATAATTTTGGTCAGAGATGAGGAGCAATTTTTTTTTTCTCAAAGCGTTAGGAATCTTTGGCTTTCTCTACCCCAGAGGTTTGCAGGTGCTCCAATGTTGAATATGTTGTGGTTGGTTGGCTTGCCGAGCTGGTTCACTGTTCCACAGACGTTTCATTACCCTACTGGGTAACATCATCAGTGCAGCCTCCGAATAAGTGCTGTTGTGTTTTCCCGCCTGTTATTTAAACTCTGGTGTCTGTTGTTCTCGGTTACCTTACTACCGGTTTTCCTTCGCAATGGAGTGTATATGGGGTCTAGCTTTATGTGTTTGTTGATGGCGTTCTTAGAGCTAGATCCCATATACACTCCATCGCAAAGGAAAACCGGTAGTAAGGTAACTGAGAACAACGGACACCAGAGTTTAAATAACAGATGGGAAAACACAACAGTGCTTCGTCGGAGGCGGCACTGATGATGTTACCCAGCAGTGTAATGAAACGTCTGCAGAACAGTGAACCAGCTCGGCAAGCCAACCAACCACAACATCCACAACTCGAGCTACAAATCTACTCTGAAACCTTAATGTTGAAAATATTCAAAGCTCTGTCAGGTTTTAGTGTCTTGGGAATCAAGAGATATAGAGAGCAGGCAGGAAGATGGAGTTGTATCTAAACATCAGTGGCAATGAATGGTGGAGCAGGCTGCAGTCTATTCCTGCTCCTATTTCTTGTGATCTTAGCAAGCCTAACCTACATCTTGTGATACTATGGTTGCTACCCTCTAAATGTTTCCCGACTGCTAATTGGCTTGCTTCATTCTACAGAACTAGTTCTATCTGTACTTTTTTTCCCTTCCATCATTGGACCTGAAAATACAGATTTTAGAAAATGTTCATGAGTGTATTTCAGAAACTCTTTTCCCTTCTTTGCTTTTTGTGCAATTATGGGATGATTGAAATCCTTTACTCACATTACGATGTACATTTTGCACCTTCCTTCCCACTATAGAGGCCCAATAAATATCCCCAATAGTCTAATGATCTTCTGTCTTTCTTTGCTCTGATCAGTAGATTATCTCTTCTAGCACCACTTGGACATGCTTTTTCTCTTTGATATGTTGCTCAGCAGCATAATTACAGCTTAATACTGTTACCCCTCCTCTTCTCTGTACTTGTAATCAGGAATAGATCATGCCCAGTTCTGCATTATCCCCAGAGCATCATATTCATCCCATATCTATCTATGCTTGCAGCTCACCAACCGTGTTTATTATGCTCTGTGTTATGGGCCAGACTAAAACGCCTCAAAATAAATTAAAACAAAAGCCTAGGCGCTCACCTTATTTTAAAAACAAGTGCCAGGGGTGGCATTCCGGATGCAATTAGATTGCTTCAAATCTGGTAGTTTGACCAAAACACACTTTATTCATACATTACAATAAAAATACAGCAAAAGAAACAAGAAATTGGAATAACTTAACAGTAACTATTTCAATATAGTAACAGCCAATAAGCACATAAGGCAAATTCAGTAGAATATCTTGTCTCCTAGGCAATCCTCCAGTCCAGAAAGAAAAATAGTTTTGTGTGTGTATGTGTGTATATAGCAGGGAAATGATGTCATGCAGCTTCCAAACCCAGCTTCAAGACCCCAGCAACAACTACTGAAAAACTAAAACTAAAAATTCTGGCTCGAGGGGAGCTTGACCCCACCCATCCAGGCTGCTTCAATTGTTCCAACCGTTTTAAAAACAAAACCCAAGGCTGCACAAACTGTTACTTTATTGAATTCAAATAGAAAGTTTGTCACCTCTGTCTTAAAATGTCCCTTCAAAAAAAGGACAAAATACACCTCTTAAAGCCATAGTATCATCACATTTGTGAGCTCACACATGTAGTCTAATGTGCAGTTTGGACCTTACTGTATCCTCTCTTATTCTGACCCCACATCATGCCTTCATTTTTTTATCCGTTGTTTGACAGAAGTTTGTTTTCCAGTGTGAATGAAACAGCATTTGAACAAGCAAGACACTGATGATAATGCGTTTTGCCAACATAATAATATTTTCATCTAATATCCACAGGAAAGAATTAACTGAACTAAGGAATGATTTTGAAGAAGAGAAAAAACAACGTATTGCCTTACAGGTATGTGTGAAAAACATGCAGATTTTAATACCCTCAGCTGCCAACTATTGCTGCTGAATAAATGTCAGCTGTGCCTGTCAACTTGAAACAGAAGATTGTGGCATTTTACCCTACTTGAGAGACAAATTCTAGACTGGCACTCCAATGCAGTACTAAAGGGATTTTACACTATCATTCAGGTGAGACACTAAACTGAGGCTGTGTTTATCCTCAAGAGATACAGCAAAGGAGGTGGAACTAGAGGAGTTATGGCACAGAAAGAGGCCATTCAACCCATTGTCCATGCACCAATTTGCTGCTGATTCTAATCGCAGTTTCCAATATCCAGTCATTAGTCTTGCCAATTATAATACTTCAGGTGCAGGTACATATTCCTTTTAAATTTAGTTCCTGGGTTTCCAACTCAAGCATCAAGACCAACAAAGTTCCAGACAAATTTCCAAGTATCTAGGTCAAAATCCTTTTAAAAACCACCTTGAATCTGTGCCCCCCTGGTAATTGACCTCTGTGCTGGGGTAAGCAGGTCTTCCGTATCTGCTGTATCCAAGCCCCTTATTTTGTACACCTCCATTATTTCACCACTCGGCCTCCCCTGTTTTTGAGAAATGCAACCCGAGCTTTACAATCTTTGCTCATTTTTGCAATTTTCAATCCCTGGCAACATTCTTCTAAAACATCATTGTGCTCTGTCCGCAGCAACTATGTCCTCTTAGTATTGCTGTGACCGGAAATCTATGGCCTAACCAATGACTTACTTAGTTCCAGTAATACATCGCTTTTGTATTCAATCTCTTGCCCAATGAAAGAAAGCACCATATATGTCTTCTTTGCCACCTCAGCTACTTATCCTGCCACTTCAGGGACCTATGGACATGCACTCCAAGGCTTCTAACTTTCCTGTATCATTCGTAGTATCTTCCCCTTTATTGTATGTTCCCTTCCTTTGTTTGCCCTCCCCAAATGCATAGCCGTGCTCGTCTTCAAATTGAATTCCATTTGCTACTTCTGGCACTGACTCAACTAAACTATCAATATTATCCTGTAGTCAACAGACAACCTCTTCACCATCAACAACATGACCAGTCATTGTGTAATCTGCAAATTTCTGAATTCCATCTCCCAGATTTAAGTTTAACTCTGTGCTACAAACAGCAAGGCACCCAACATCAAACCCTGTGGGACACCACTAGAAACTGCTTTAAATTTGCAAAAAAAATTCATTGACAATACTCTGTCTCCTGTCAATGAGCCAATTTTATCCACCTCACCACATTCTTCTGTGTCCCATGAGCTTCTCTTTTTCTCACCAGTCTTTCATTTGGCACCTTATCAAATATCTCACTAAAATCCACGTGCACACAATCTACCGCAATACCCTCGTCAATCCTCTTTTTAATATCCTCAAATACGCAATTCATTTAGTAAAGTAGAATTATCCCTGATTAATCTGTGCCTCTCAAAATAACAGTCATTCCTATCCATAAATATTGGTCTTAGTAATTTGCTCACCATCAAGGCCAGGCTGACTGACTTAAAATTATTTGGCTAATCCCTTGCACCATTTTTGAATAATGGTGCAATGTTCACAGACTTTCAATCCCTTTGGTCCCTTGTCTGTATCTCGTGAGGATTCGAAAATGCTCCCTGGAGCTTTAGCTTTTTCCTTCCTGGCTGCTTTTATCAGCCGAGGATGCAATTCAGTCAGCTCCACTTTCAAGAAGGTCAGTCCCACTAGTAATACTTATTATTCTTGTTTTGTATAATATTTCATACGCTCGCTTTAACTGTAATGTTTTCACCATTCCCTCCCTTTTGTGAAGACATACAAAGTCCTCACTAAGAGTAACATCTGCACAAGTTATCATACACATTTCTGATAGCCATCCTCTTGTTCTTATTGTACTGATAAAGTTTCTTTGAATTTGTCTTAATTTCACCAGCCATGGCAGGAAGAATAGAAGATCTGAATATTATTCAAATGGAGAGAGACTGTAGAGTATTGCAGCATAGAGGCATTTAAGAGTTCTCGTGTATGAATCAGGGAAAAGATAGCATGAGTTCAGCAGATAATAGTGAAATGGACTATTGGCCTTCATTACAAAGGGGATAGAGTATGTAAAAACAGGGAAGTCTTGCTAAACCTGTAAAAGGCACTAGTCAGACCATACCTAGAATACTTGTCACCTCAACGAAGAACATATCTACTGGCATCGGAGACAAGGTTCGTTTAGCTTGATTGAGGGACTGTCTTATGAGGTGAGGTTGAGTAAGTTGGGTTTGTACTCATTGGAGTTGGTAGGGTGAGAGTAGATTTAATTAAAATTCGTAGGGAGCTTGACGGGATGAATGCTGAGAGGTTTGTTACACCTGTGGGATGATCAGATGGCATAATCTCAGAGGAAGTTGCTGCCCATTTAAGACAGACAACTTTTTTTTGTCTCTCTGAGGTTAGTGAATCAATGAAATTCTTTGCCACAGAGGACTGTAAAGGCTGGTTAATGAGAGTCTTCAAGGCTGAGATAAATAGATTTTTGGTAAGGGCATCAACTTTTCTAGCAAAAAGGGCAGGAAAGTGAAGTTGAACATGATCCGATCAGCCATCATCTCATTGACTTGCAGAACAGACTTGATGAGCTGAATGGTGTAATTCTGCTCCTGTGTTTTATGTAGTATATTTTTATATCCTCTTTTTGCTTGCCTAATTTCAATTTTCACTACACTTCTATGTTCCTGTGTATACATTTTCCAATGTATACATTTTTAAAAATAAAATTATGAAAGCTCTATATTTCTGCTTTATCTCACCCGTATGCTTCAGGATAACCAGGGTGCATTAGATTTGGCATTATTCTCTTTTTTTTTCCTTTGTGGGGGACATTTCTACACTGTGTCTATAAACCTTATTTTTGAATGCCCCCAACTGATTTGCCACTGAATTTCTTTCAAGTCCTTTTATGCAGTCCACTTTTTGCCTGATGGTTTCTCAGCTTTGTAAAATTTGTCATTCCCAGTTTAGAAGTTTTGCTCCTGGTCTATCCAGCAATATTAAATCTAAATGTAATATGATCATTATCTCCCAAATGATCTCCCACTGCCCTGCTTCATTAACTTAAGACTCTATCTAGAATTGTGCCTTCTCTCTTCAGGCTAAAGAAAGTTCTCTGCAATGCAGTTTAAGTAATTTTTGCCTTCCATGCCTTTCATATCGTTTGTATCCAAATTAATATTTGGGTATTTGAAGTCCCCAGCTAGGATTGTCATATTGTTTTTGAATACAGAAATCTGCCTACCTGTTTGCACTTCTAATTCTTTTCCATTGCCTGGCTTCAGTAATACACACGTAGCAGTGTAGTCGACCCTTTTTGTTTCTGAGCTTGGCCTTATCTGATGCTTGATTCTGAATATATCATTCCTCTTCACACCAGTAATTGATTCCATAACAAGTAATGCTGTGACCCACGTTTTATACCCCCATCTCTTTCCTCCGTGAAAGCGCTGTATCCAGGAGTGTTGGGCATTACCATCCTTGCCCCTCTTTAAGTCAAGTTTCCATTATAGCAATGTTATCATGTTGATATGCATCTATCTGCGCCTTCAACTCTTTTTGACTTTGTTTTCTGTACTCCCTGTATTTACATATGAACATTTTTTAATATTTTTCAAATTCCTGTGGTGTACACTTTTTTTGAATTTTTGCTTCCTTTGTCTTTCAGAATCACCTGCTAAATATCTGCCTCCCATTCCCTGTTCTGAATTTGGCCGTTAGGTTCCCAAACCCCTGTCAATTTATTTTAAATATCTAGGTGTCCTGACCAATATTTATTCAACTGACTTTGGCAAAACAGGCTTCCTAGTTATTGTCGAGTTGCTGTTGTAGGATCTTATTCTGGAAATTGTCCACCACATTTCCTGCATAATGGCCACACTTCATAAGTAGGTCTTTGGCTGAAACATTTCGACACATCTTGAAATGTGTTACATAAATGCAAGACTTCCTCTGGTCAGTACACAGTTAAGCCGCTTTATTTACCAGTACAAACTTCAGCATTGTATTTTGAAGTCAGGTAAATTTTTACAGCACAGCAGGAAGCCATTCAGCCTATTGTCCCAATTCCAGATTCCCACTTGGCCTCATTTTCTGTAACATTTTCATTTGAGTATAATTTGAATTTCCCCTTAAAAGCCACTGTGAAGTCTACTTCAATAACTAGGACATCGATGCCCTAACAAAGCCCATATAGAAAAAAATTCTCTTGTCATTTCCATGTTCATTTGGTGAAAGTATAAATTATGTCCTAAACTGGCTCAATAACTATTGAAATTTTTCTTTCCCCAATCTACCTGAAGTTATCAAAATTCTAATAAATTTTTGTCAGATCTTTTCTGAATTTCCTATGCTGTAATGAAGACTGCCGTAAATTAACTTGACTTGTGGCTCTTCATTCTTGATTTAATTTCTCCTGAATATTTGCATTGTTTTGACATCCTAAAGTAAGCCACTTGAAGATGCACATCATATGCTATCTGATCTCTAATCAATAACTTGTTTTATTTATTTGTTCGTGGCAAGTGGGTGTTGCTGGCTGGACCAGTATTTATTGCTTATCCCTAAATGCCCTGGAGAAAGTAGCGATTATCTGTCTTGAAGGGACAGTGCTGTTTAGGAGGAGGCTTTTGTATTCTAAACCATATTTATATAACCTGGGGGATCATATGCTTGTGTATAGTTTTATTTATGTGCAATGATATATTTCTTAATGCCTACATGTCTGTGGTTAGATCATTTTAAATGTTTCCTAAATTTGTCCTTACACTTGTTAATAACATCACTTTACATTGCTCTCTCAAATTTATTTTGTCATCTATTAATCCAATCTAACCTATATATGTCAACCTGAAGTTGTTTTAAGGCATCTTCACATTTCAACACACTTCCTACTTCGTTTTACCTGTAAGTTTTTATATGCTGTCTATCTTAAGGCTGGATTGTTCATTGTTACAAGTGCACTGACCCATCACTGAACTCTGAAGACCCTTCAATGTGAAAAACATCTATTAACACTAGGCACATTGTTCCTTATTTGTTGTTTTCCTGAGGATGTGTGGATGACCTTTTATGCGTGGATCTTCACTATATTATTTTTGTGCTGTTGTGCCTGTGCATTGATTTGGAAGTCAATTTGTGAAAGGCCTGTTGGGAACTTAGATTGCTACACAGCCATGCAACTTAGAGCGAACATTATTTAGTACCCTTCAACGTGAGCTTGAATTTTATCAACAATCTTCCTGTGAGACGCCTGATCAAATTTCTTTTGAAAGTCCATAAACAACACCTTTCACATTTCCTTTATGAATGCATTTTGTTGTTTCCTTGAAGTAGCAGTTTATTTTCAAACATAGGTCACCTTTTGCAAATCCAGATGACTTAGAGTTACGGAATCGTACAGCACAGAAACAGACCCTTTGATCCAACCAGTCCATACAGAACATAATCCCAAATTAAACCAGTCCCACCTGCCTGGGTACTCAAAAGTCCCATTCCCATTCAAACTCATGGTGGCTCTTATCACTTAAGCAGTCTTTGCTCAAAGGCCACCTTTTGTGTTGTGTCCTTGGTCAGACAGGATCTTCCCTAATAAAACTTAAATCAGTCCTTACTGGTAATTTCTGTGTGTCAGTTCTGGTCGGCAGTTAAAGATTTTTTTTTTTGAAGAAACAGCTATTTATGTAATATTCAATTAATTTCTCAACATATAATAAGATCATTAAGCAACTGTTTTATACAGGCTTTCAAGTCCCACACATCTGATGTCGAATGTTCAAGGGTTTTAAATGCATTGCAACAGTTAGATGTTTTTGTTTTGATGTTCCAGAGTTCCCTAGGTTTTAGAATACTTTCTATGCTATTCAAGGAAGTAGGGAGAGAGATAACTGAAGCATAGGCCAGCTAATCTAACATGTACACAATGTGAAAATGCTAGAAATTAAGGACCTTTGTAGTGTTATTATAGCATGTAGTTAAGGAAGTGATTAGGGTTAAATGATTCAGTGACTGGGAAGATCTAAAAAGGAAACAGATTTGAAAAATGAAACAGTTGCAAATCTCTAATCAACGAAAACAGTTTAAGGCTGTTGAAGTACAATGGTTGTTTCCCTGCACCTGAGCCAGGTGGCCCAGGTTCAATTTCCACCTGCTCCAGAGGTGTGTCAAAGCATCTCTGAGCAGGTTGATTAGGAAATATCTTAAAAGGGAAGAGGTGACACTGGTATGTGCAACTAAGACTGAATAGCCAGTAAACATTACGCACAAAGAAAAGTGTCTTGGCTTCTACCTCACTATCAAGCTTGAATCTGAATTGATCTGTAATATTGCACTTAGGAAATCATAATAGTTGGAGCAGCTTCAGCATGAGTTGATAGAAAGGAAATTGTGATCTGAGAGTATTTTGAGAGTGCAACTCATAGGTAGGATACCATTAGGTGGTGTATATTTGGACTTTAAAACAAAATTCCATTAGATGCCCCACAAGGATTTCTTTCACAAATTAAGACTTGTGGATGCGGTGATTGTAACGAGGTCAGCCATTATGAGTTCCCTGATTGGGGCTGTTAATCCTGTCCATTCAGGGAGCTCTGGCTGACATATAAAAATAGGTAAGTGTCAGATATTGACACTCCTGGTATCTAACTCTGAATGAGGTAGTACAGAAGTCCAGATCTGTTCCTGTGTAAATAAAGGGTGACTTGGAGATGGGACACCAGCTCTGTGGAGTTATTTCAGTGGCATTTGAGCTCATCAGTTAGAATAGATTGAGGATTGATTAATAGTCAGAGTAGAAATATACAGATCATATTTGTGTTCACAGCCTGAACACAATATTGAGTACTGTGCTTGGGACTTGGCTATTTAATTCATTATCTTTGACTTCGATGAGGAGACAGAGTGTGACATTTCCAGCTAGGGAAAGTAAGCTGTGAGGAAGATGCAAAGAGACTGCATAGGAATAGAGGCAGGCAAGAAGGTGCTAGATGTGAAATTTTAGAATGATATGAAGTTATGCAATTGGTGGAAAAAAACTTTGTAAATAAGATCAGAAACTGGAAAATGTAGGCATGCAGGCTGACCAGGATGATTTTGTACAAGCTGCCAAGTTATAATGCAGTTTTTTTACTGTCATTTTATGTGTCACTGGTAAGGCCAGTATTTCTTTCCTATTCTTAGTTACCTTGGAGGCATTTAGGAAATTGAGAAAGCAAATGATGCTTTTTTTATTGCAAAGGGATTGAGTTATTAGAATAAAATTAGTCTCACTGCGTTTGTACAGGACCTGGTGATGCCATACTTGAAGTAATGATTACGGCTTTGGTCTCCTTTCTTATGGAGACCATAACTTGCTTCCTAGGGTGGCTTGCTGGATTGATTCATGGCTTGAGAGGATTTTATTTTTGAAGTCAAGTTGAGTAGAATCTACCTATAATCCCTGATTTCATCAAAACTCAAAATTTTCTGGTGGCTTGAGGGTGAATACTGGAATGGTTTTCCCTTGGCTGGAGAGTCTAGAAACAGTGGTCAGTTGTCCCTGAAAAAGGAGTCACTTATTTATGACTGACATGAGAAATGTATTCATTCACAGGGTTGTGAATCTCTGAAATTCTTTACCATAGGGACTGTGGATGTTCAGTTATTGAGAATATCAGGATGGGGGATGTCAATAGATCTTAGGGCACTTGTGAACTCAAGGGGTGAGTGCATGAAGGTAGAGTTTGTTAGAAAATGAGGTATATTGCTATTGAATGGATAAGTAGCAAGGGCGTCCTGTTACCAATCCTGACTCTTCCTGGATGTTGTGTATGTGAACATCCTCATGACTGTGCAGATGTTTGCTTACACACCCCAGCCCTACCTTAAACAAAATATGTATGTTTGGATGTTTTCTTTGCTGCTGAAATTAAATGTTCTCTAAGTGTTTGCATTGCTAGATAATAGTCACTAAATTTTCTTTTTTTTTAAATTTACAGCTGGAAATAGATAAACTGAAGAAAGCTGTCCAGTCTACATGAGCTATGTTTCATTCAAATTTGTGACAATTTACTAAGATTCAAGTTGTTGCAAATAACCAGGAAAACCAATACTTTGAAATACTTCCCCTTTTATGATAATCATTGCCCTATATGAAATGTCAGATATTATGATATATCTTTATAAAGTTGGGTATAATTGTATGATGTAAATTTTTAGCCAATAAGAATTTTTGAGGCCTTATCTGCTATTATGCTGAATTTGCAGACTGCACATGGTGAATGTTTAGTTTGCTTCCTGTACTACTGAATCTGTATAAAGGGGTCAGAGATTTTTAAGATGTAGTTTAATTTTTTTAAATGAATCAATGCTGTTGTACTTTTGCAAAATTGTTAAGATTGCCGTCTAGGCATTTTCTGCTAAATGGGAAGAAAGAACTTAATAGATCTTAGTTTTATTGTTCTATACAGGAAAGGATGTTTGATTTGCTGTATACAATTTATTTTAGCTTTCCTATCCAGGGTAAACAATATTGTGCCTGATTGAAGCCTTCATTTGCAAGTATTCAGTGAATATATAAAGTTGGCATTTTAAAGGGCAAAGGAATGTGAATTGCAGACCAATTCCCCATACAAAGTAAAACAATGTATTTTCATATCGAAGGTTACATAATATAATTTAAATGTGCATTTACACATTACTTGCAATAAAGGGAGCTTTTGGCCCTAACAAAGGGTCTGAGGAATTGGGCAAACATAAGTTGTATCTTTCATATGTTTACTTTGAAGAATTATGGTTCAAGACTCTTTTTGTTTTCTTTCCTCATTTACCTGTGGTCCTCTCTATATTCAATTGATACCACAAATACAATAAGAAATCTACATTTCTGAAGGAGTGGAACAATTCCAAGTTGTTTTGCATTTACATGGATCCATTTGCATCTAAAGAGGTTTCATAAGTGATTTTGGGCACTCGTTATCAACAGCCCATTGCTGTAATAAAACTAGTTACAAATGATCATGAATGACAATCATTTATATTCAGATTTCTATCTCAGCTGTTACATGCCTTTACAAAAACAGTGCAGTGCATTGTTGTGTAAAACTACTGGCTTTTCATTGCAATCTACTCCCTGTAAATCTTTTCAATATATAGTTTGTCCACTTTTCTTGTTTACACATTACCTAATAAAATGAAAAAATATATTGTAATACATTTTTTATAACCCATGGCTGTAGCCTTTATTATCAAGATTTCTTAACAGTTTATTTACATGTGTTGTGCGATTGATCATGCATACTTATTCTAAGTTTTGGCTAACCAAATTTTTTTTTTAGAAGGTTGATTTCACTAAAACAAGTATTTTCTCAGTTTTGTTTTCTCACAAACTGACCTGGAATAATTCTGAAGAATTACTTTTAATTTTGTTAATGCAAAAGCTTGATTTATTTTAGATGTTAAATGAATTACACCTTTATAAAAACAAACTGCTACACGTTGCATTCAAGCATACAACAAAGGAGAAAAAGCAGGACATTCAGCCTCTTGAAACTGCTCTGCCATTCCATAAGATTGTGACTGATCTGTTTGTGTTTTGATGTCCTCATTCGTATCTACCCTGTAATCTTTAGTTCTCTCACCTAACACCAATTTATCTACCTCTCCCCTTAAAAGTATTCAATGACCCTGCATCTATTGCCTGTGAGGCAGAGTTCCAAAGTTGTATGACTCTCTGAAAGAATTTTGTTTTCCTCCTCTCGGTCTTAAAAGGCCAACCTCTAATTTTGAAACACTGCACCCACAAAAGGAAACAGCCTTTCCACATTGTCAAGCTCTTGCACACTTCGATCATGTCACCCCTCACTTCTAAACAGTGATGGAGGCAAACCCAACCTGCTCAACCTATCTTCATAGGACAGTCTGACTCATTGCAGGTATCAATCTAGTAAACTGGCTCTGAACCGCCTGCAATGCATTTACATCTTTGTTCTTGTGGCACAGTAGTAGTGTCACTGCCTCTAAGCTAGGACTCACTGGTTCAAGTCCTACCTGCTCCACCTTTGAACAGGTTGCATGGCAAATAAAAAGGAGACTGAAACTGCATGTTGTATTTGAGACGTTATCTCACCAATGCCTTGTATAACTTTTTATACTTTTATGTTTAACTCCCCTCATGATGAGGGCTCGCATTCCCTCAACAGTCATCTTGATCGTTTGCACACTATCCTTTTGTCATTCATGCACTGGAATACCTAAATCACTCTGCACCTCGGATTTCCACAGTCATTTTCTGTTTAAATACTAATTGAATTTGTATGTCTTCCCATTTAACTTTATTTGTCAAGCAGTACTGGTAATTTGTCATAAGTTAAAACATAAAACGATTGTTTTTTGTTTGGTTACTGCCCCTACCTCTCGTCAGTTTGACTATCCTCAAACTCTCACCAGCAATGGTTCTGCCTTCCTGATGTATCAGTTATGTTTGACCCCTTCTAAAGTAATGTGAGATGCGAAAAGCTCCAACACTTCTTGTACAGGTCCCACCTTCCCCAGAAGGTATCCCAATGAACCACATATCTGGATCACCAGCTCCTATACCAGCTCTAGCCGCTGTTCAGCTGCTATTCCCAGCCTCACTAGCCTATGGCACCAATAGTAATCCTGAGATTACTACTCTGCTCGTCCTGGCTTTTAGCTTTCAACCTAACTCCCCATATTCATTTTTCAGGTCCTCATCCCTTTTCCCAGCTATGTCATTGGTACCGATCTATACCATGGCTGCTCTCCCTCCCCGTTAAGAATCCTGTAGACTCAATCTGAGACATCCCTGACCCTGGTACCTGGGAGGCACTCTGACCTTTTATGCAGTTATAACCAGTTCCTGTCTGCCTGTAAGTTGTGGTTCCATAGTTTTTGTTTCCAATTACAATTTGTCATATTTTCCAAGAAAAGCTTTGAAATCGTGGATTTCATCACACTTTCTGACTCAAAGAAAATTTACTTCAGTGACAGTTTATTCACAATCATTTTGAAATACAGCAAGTTCTTATAAACATTTTACAAAATAACAAATTGTACAGGTAGTCTTCATATATTGCATAATTACATATTGTATTTTTCCAGTGCTTATCCAAACCATAAATAAATCAGTAACAATTACGATTAGTAAATTCAAACTGGAGTATTAATGGAAAAAGATACATATTGCTAAAGTTTTTCATCTTGCACTTAGCAGGACAAATTCTATAAATATCAATTCCAGGAATAACAATGTGTGAAAACTGTTTTTTTTTCACACATTACATGTCTTTTGCAAATTGCTTTAAACCTCTGCTCTCTTGTCCTGCATCTTTTTAAGAGTGGGAACAGGTTCTCCCTGTCTACATTGTCTAGACATCTCATGATTTTGAAAGCTTCAAATTTTCTCTGAGCCATCTCTACTTGAAGGAAAACAGCTTTAACTCCTCCGATCTATCCTTATTAACTAAAGTTTCTCAGTCCTGGAACCATTCTCATAAACCCCTTCTGCGCATACGTTCACATCCTTCCTAAAATGTGGTGCTGAGTTGAGAGCTAATGTATTTTATATAGGTTCAAAATAACATTGCCTATCTTGTACTATATCTCCTTATCAATGAAGCATAGGATAGAGTATACTTTATTATCTGCCCTCTCCACATGTCTTTCCATCATTAATGATTTATGCACATATACACGCTAGTTCTTCGTTCTTATACACCCTTTGTTTTATGCTGCATCTCCATGTTTTCTTTCTGCTTAAATATATCATCTTGCACTGCACATTAAAATACTTTTGCTGCCTTTTTGATCAACTTGTCAATGTCCATTTCAAGTTCTTATTAACTGTTTATGATTCTTCCACATTTTGTGTAATTTGCAAACTTTGAAATTGTGCCCTGCACTCAATGATCTAGATCATTAATATAAACCAGGAAAAGCAAGGATCCAATATCTTCCATCCTGACCAATGCTTTCAATTTCCTATTACTAGCCTGTTTTGCATCCATGTTATTATTATCCCTTTTATTTTTTGAGTTATAACTTTCTCATGGGACAGCAGGGTAGCTCAGTGGTTAGCATTGCTGCCTTGCAGCTCCAGGGACCCAGGTTTGATTCCTTCCTTGGGTGTCTGTCTGTGTAGAGTTTTATGTTCTCCCAATGTCTGCATGGGTTTTCTCTGGCTGCTCGAGTTGCCTCCCACAAGTTTTAGAGTAGATTTGTAGCTCGGGTTGTAGGTGTTGAGGTTGATCGCCGAGCTAGTTCGTTGTTTCGCAGACATTTCATTACCCTGCTGGGTAACATCATCAGTGCACGAGAGTACACGAACATCAGCTGACAACAAAAAGACAGGACAAATATTCACTCAACTCCATCCACATGGATAAGAAAACCACCAATTTGATTGGGACAACACCAGGATCCAGGGACAAGCGAAGCAGAGACAAGCATGGGAATTCCTAGAAGTTTGGTTCTCCACAAAGAAAGCCATCAATAAATACATCGAGCTCGACCCCATAAATACTCCATTGCGAAGGAAAACCAGAAGTGAGGTAATCCAGCTCAATGGACACCAGAGTTTAAATAACAGGCTTTATCAGAGACTGCACTGATGATGTTACCCAGCGGGGTAATGAAACGTCTGTGGAAAAACGAACCAGCTCAGCACACCAACCAACCACAATTTCCTCCCGCAGTCCAAAGATGTGCAGGTTAGGTGGAATGGTTATGCTAAATTGCCCACAGTGTCCAGAGATGTGCAGACTAGGTGGATTAGCCATGGCAAATGTGGGGTTACAGGTGGGATGCTCTTAGGAGGGTTGGTGTGGACTCGATGGGCTGAATGGCCTCTTTCCACACTGTAGGGCTTCTATGATTCATGAATCTGTTCATGTTTCGAGTTCTGAACAAGTCAATATCAAACTTGAAGCAATAACTCCTTCCCTCCACAAATGCTGCCAGACTTGCAGAGTTTCTCCAGCACACTCCTCGTCTGTTAAAGCAACCACTTGATTGGTACCCCATCCATTGTCTTCAGCACCTACACAGTCCATCAGCGATGTACACAGTGCTGCCACTGTGCAATGTGTGAAATATACTGCAGCAACTTGACAAGCTTCCTTCAAACAGCATCTTGCAAACTTGCAACCTCTAGTGCCCAGAAGGGCAAGGGCAGCAGCTGCAAAGGGACACCACCAACCTCTCTTTCAGGCCAAATACCATGCTGGCATGAAGCTATATACTTTTTCTTTTATTCTCATTGAGTTAAACTCTTAGAAATCTTGAATCTTGCCAATAATTGTTCTAATCAACCTATTCAGAGATGTTATTACACTCCTATGGAGCAGCTGGGATTTGAACCCAGGCCTCATTGCTCAGAGATAGGGACTCTACCACTGTGCCACAAGAGTCACTCCTGCCTTGCTATTGGAATGTGGATATATTAACACCACATGGGCTGCAGCTGTTCACGAAGATGCTCACCATCATCACCTCAAGGGCAATTAGAGATGGCCTAGTCTATGTTGCTCACATCCTGTGAAAGGATAACAAAACAATGTTGCAAGTAATCTGTGTGTGCTATAAACCCTTTCCAAGTGAGGAATATCTTGTAAGGCACATGTTCCCAATATATTTAATTAAATTCAAACTTGGCTGTGCTGGAATTTAGAATTCTGTTACAAAATAAGAAATTGCTGGAGAAACTCAGCAGTTCTGGTAGCATTTGTGGGAAGAAAGCAGAATTAAGTTTCAAGTCCGGTGACTGTTCAACAGAGCTTCTGCTAATTTATTCCTCTACATGTTGCATGATTGTACCAATTGCTCACATGTTTTGTAATCAAACTACCAAACCTTCCACACTGCAGCTGCTCTCATGAATTTAGAGATTACTTAGACTTCCACAGCAATAAGTAAATAAAATTTCAACAGGTATTGGATTCTGAGATGCCAGAAGCTATGTAACATCAGTCAAAAGTGTTTCTTAGCAAAAGTTTGAAATAGAATAGAAAAATAATAAGAATAAATAATATTGTTAATAGGCAATAGCTTAATATTCTGAGATATTCTGATGTACCATAGGCTGAGATTTATCTTAAGTCCTTCTTGCCAAGTATTTGTTTACAACTGATCCAACTATTGACTGCTTTTCAAGATGAATTCAAGGTCATTCGTGCCAAGATCCCATAATGCAGTCA